GAGGTGACGGGTGGAGCCTGGCAGCGGGGGAAGAGGACTCAGCTGGAACAGACATCTGAGCACCGAGTTTCCCTCTGGTCCTTGCTTTGCTGTGGTTTGAAAACACATCGTATGTGCCTTATAGAGTGATGGGTTGTTTACCAGGATCTCTAAATGCTGATATCATCTCTCCCCTGATTATCCTCATATTTCTCAGCCAATCTGCCATAGCTAGACATGTTTCACCTTGATCATCAGTAGTCTTATTTTATTTATTTTCTACCCCCCAAATACCAATCCCATCTCTTAGCTATAGATCTGATTCTTCCAGTTCTTTAGACATGTATGGCCCGGGAAAGTGAAAGTGTTAATCACTCAGTCATGTCCGACTCTTTGTGACCCCATGGACTATAGCCCGCCAGGCCTCTCTGTCGACAGGATTTCCCAGGCAAGAATACTAGAGCGGGTTGCTATTTCTTTCTCCAGGGGATCTTCCCAACCCAAGGATCAAACCTGGGTCTCCTGCACCACAGGCAGATTCTTTACCATCTAAGCCACCGGGGAAGGCCCTGGACCACTTACCAAATGCTCTCCCGTGTGTGATCCCAGTTTGTTTTCACAGAAAGCCCAGGTAGTAACTAGGATGGCTATCGTGGCGCCCACTTCAGAGATAAAAGAACAGAGGAGCTGGGAAATTAGCTGACTTGCCCAGGATCACACGAGAAATACCTGAAGCAGGTATTCAAATCCCAGTCTTTTTTTTAAAAATAAACTTTTTAACTTTGGAATATAAACCTTTCACTACTGTCCAGTATTATACTATTAAACTAAATGAAAACTTAATACATATAAACTACATAAAACAACAAAACTATATTAAAGATCACATGTAGGTTAATGTCTTCAACTTGAACACCAGTTAGGGAGTTTATTGACACTATGTAGAGTTTTGGGCTTCCCAAGGTGGCTCTGTGAGTAAAGAATCCACCTGCAATGCCAGAGATGCAGGAGACCCAGGTTTAACCCCTGGGTGGGGAAGATCCCCTGGAGGAGGGCATGGTAAGCCGCTCCAGTATTCTTGCCTGGACATGTCCTCCCCATGGACAGAGGAGCCTGGTGGATCACAAAGAGTCAGACACAACTGAAGCGACTGAGCACTCACGCATAGTTTTTGGCAATGAAATTTTCTACTGATGACAAGATGTAAGCAAGTGAGAAAGTCCAAGCCAGTCATCAGCGGCTCATGGTCTAGACAAGAGGCCAGTGGTCCTTCCTGCAGCCGGCACTCTGCTTAGTGGCGCAGACACACGGGGGCTTCGCCATCTGTTGAGAAAAGCTTTGTTTTCATCGCTCCCTGGGTTCGGCCGGGACGGCCCGAGCCCCCATCACTCCATTTGAACAGGAGGTCACCAGTCATACGAAGCAGCGGTTATGGCAGTTTACAGCCATTTCAAGTGTAAAACCAGGGACTCGGAAGATGTGGGTTTGAGCCCTCTGTCAGAAGATCCCCCGGAGGAGGCAATAACAACTTACCCCGGCCTTCTTGCCTGGAAAATCCCATGGACAGAGGACACTGGTGGGCTACAGTCTATGGGGTCGCAAAGAGTCGGGCACGACTGAGCGGCTGAGAAGGCACAACTGTACAAACCGATCAAAAGCAACACACGCAAAGCAAGTTCACGAGCCTCGGAATTCTGTGATGGGGACGCATCAGCTCAGCTCAGCGCTGGAGTGGGTCTCGGGTGTGAGGCTTCCCCCTGACGCTCGAAGTTATCACTTCCACACGGATCTGACCGTTTCACTGCCGAGTGGCCCTTCTCTGTGCCTGTTTCCTGATCTGGAAAACGGGCGCACTCTAACTATAGGATTGATTTCCTCTGGCCAAAGTCCCAGGGGTCTGTGGTGAGGCTCCAGTGGGATAAAGCACGTTGTCTCTTTAGCCCAGGGCCCAGCCCTAGGTGAGCGCTCATGGCCAGCATTGGGCACGTGCAGATGGAAGAGCCCCTTAGATTCAGCGACCACGGTGTGCAAGGAGCATTCACATCCGTCATCTCCTTTCATCCAGCCTGGCAGGTATCGCCACCTCTGCGTCGCAGGTGAGCTGCTTGGAATTCAGAGAGGCCACGCAGTTTGTCCCAGGTCACACAGATCTGTAAGCGGCTGAGCCAAGAGGGACCCCAGCCCTCCTGACTGCAAGCACCAGGGCAGGGAATGGGGTAAGGAGAGCGAGGCACTCACCTTGAGCGCAAGATGTAAGGGGGCACCCCGACTTTCAGTGATCACGATGTTAGATTTGAATGCAATATATTTTTTTAAAATATCAGAATCAATGCCCAAAACAAACAAACAAAAAATCTATGGCAAATAGCCACAAGGCAAAATATCAGATTCTGAAACAAAGCCGGGATCATCCTGAGTGATTGTTTTTCTTTGGCTCAGACTCTGGCCGACTGGGCACAGGCTGTGAGTGACCCTGTGCTGACCGCAGGCTCCCGCCGCTGGTGGCCGAGGTGGTTCCTCCATCCCCAGGCCTTCATCCTCCTCCATGAGAGGCAGACAGAAGCTGTGAACCAGGGTCCCACCCACCCAGACGAGCGGGCCTGAGCCTCCCACTCATCTGGGAGTGGAACCAGCCCCAGCCAATCGCATACAGCGACAGTGGGGGTGGGGTGGCCCACCCAGATGTTGGGGTGCTGTTTCCCTTCTAAAAAGAGGGCTGCATGTTACACTTGCAAAGGGGACAAATTCTGCTGCAAGGGAGCCTAACACAGAGGACTTGCGTCCCAATGGTGGGAGAGCAGGCTTGGGGCGGAGCCGGATGGCCTGGTATCCTGCCTGACATCCCCAGGTTGGCATGGGTCTTCGAGGCAGCGGGCACTTGGGTCCTTTCCCAGCTCCGAACCCCAGCGTTGCCTACTTCTGCTCCAGGCTGTTTAATCTGTGGTAACATTTTACTCTTGCCTCCTCCTCCTCCTACAAAGCAATCTTGCTGAACTTTCAGGCCAATTAGTGATAATTCAAATTTCTTTTGATCAAGCCTGTCTATTTTTGAACTAATAATGAATGGGTTTGTGTGGCAGTCCCTCCCCGCAGTGAAGAGTTCTAGGGGAGGAAGTCAGCCTGAGCCTCCTGGGTTTCGGGGGAAGGAGCCCAGCGAGGCGTAATGAGGGGCCTGGGGCCGATATCCAGCAGGGCCGAGAAGGTCTGTGTGCAACACAGCAAAAAACAGCAGCAAATGTCTCCAAGCGTGTTGCTTCTAGGAGCCTTATCTTTGCCTCGAAGGCCAGTGGGATGCCTGGGAGACAGGCCCAAGCCAGCAAGGATGGCCAGAGTTGGTGGAGATGTCACGCCACTGTCAGCAGTCTGCAGGAGCAAAGGAGCAGCTGCCAGCTGGGCAGGTCTGTGCGCTCCAGTTTGCCGCAGTCCCCACCGCTCCCTATTGTTTTCCATCTTGCCTGCGTGCCTCACTTACAGTGCCTGTCTTGCTATTGCAGAAGTCCTGTCTTCTCTTCTCCCCCATAGAGACTAAGCATTTGGCATCCTGGTATCAGCGTATTTGAAAACATCTCAGGGAAGAGGGGGTCATTAGCACTCAGATCCTCCAGATCAGCCTGTAGACTGGTTTTTAACAAACTTTCTCTTTCTCCCTGTTTTCCCAAACCTCTATTGAAGGAGTATATTCCTGCCCCATTGCTGCTACCGTATGATCTGTTTTAGTCAATGGAATGGGGTGAAAGTGACCGTGGGCCAGTTCTGAGTCTAGACTGCAAGAGTGATCTCATATTTCTGCTTGTCCTTCTGATAGCTTCTGGTTTTACCCGTGGACATTACAAACTCTTGGATCATGGCTTCTTTTCACCCTGGGTCCCAGAATAAACACACGTGGAGAAAAGCCATGTCAGTTTTCCTGCAGACCTTTCAGTGTGAGGATAAATGTTTATAGTATGCCAGTGAGTTCTGGGATGTGTTGTTACACAGCAAAAGCTGACAGATACAGAGCCTATGATCTTAGAGTTTCAGGGAGACTGAGGCAGTGATGAGCCTCGGTGACACTGGGATAAAACCACTGAGTTGGGGCCAGACCAACCCTGGCTTGACCTTGATAGGATCTTAAACTTACCAAACCTCATGATCTTAGGCATGTTCTTCACCTCTGTGTTTCTGGGGTGTCCTCATGTGATAAATGGGTGCAGTCACCCCTACCCCCTGGGGCGGTCGTGAGACTTGACAGAGTTTGCATCAAAAGCACATGAGATGTAGGAAGTCCTCAGTACCTTAGTTTCTTCTTTTTCCCCTTCCAATCGTTGTTGGCAACCTGGGAAGCTTTGAGAATGGCTTTGTGAATCGCCGTGTCCCCAGAAGCCACCTGATGATAAGCTTTAGATTTAAAGGCTCTGCAGTGAGGCTGCCTGGCTCCAAATTTAGCTGCACCATTCCGTTTACTACCTGGATGACTTTGAACAAGCCAACTAACCCCCCTGACCTGCTGCACCTCAGGGGGGTGAATTCTCTAGCTCAGGACTGCGGGGGTGGGAGGATCCCTCGAGACAGGACAGTGTCAGCAAGGCAGGCAGGTGGCACCCAACGAGAGCAACCTGCAGCCCCGGCCACTGCGGTCAGTTCTGCAGGACCGCAGCACTTCTGTCTCATCTCATCACCTCTGCCTGCAGCCAGGGTTTCTCCAAAAATGACATGGATGGGAGAAGGAGCTACTTGTAGAATGCAGACTCCTGGACCCTGCCTCTGACCCGCAGTGTCAGATTCTCCCGGGATGGGTCCCGGAACCTGTGCACACTTTATAGAAGTTCGCACCTCAGCCTCTTGGGGGCTAAAGCTTGCTGAGCTGATCTGGCCTCATATGTATTTTGTAATTCAGGGGGGCAGCCGTCCTGGCTACGTGGCTTGTCTCTGATGGAACTCCTTCAGAGGATGCTCTGGTCCAGCGGTTCCCCTGGCCACGGGCAGGTCACTCCATGGAACAGTGCAGCTCGGGAGTGTCCATGACCCACCTGCCCCTGCAGAACACGCTGCAGCCCCGGTGCCCTTGGGGCGGGCCGGGGAGGACCTGGTCCTCATCCGCGCCGCCCCCTCCTGCCGTGTGCCCTTGGGGTGGGCCGGGGAGGACCTGGTCCTCGTCTACGCCGCCCCCTCCTGCCGTGTGCCCTTGAGCTCACGGCCTCCTCTTCCACATCCCAGCCGCTGCATTTTCACGATGCTGGGTGGGTTCTTCCTCCGGGTCTCAGCTGGCTCTGACACTCTGTGCCATTGTGTTCTGAGGCCAGCGTCACTGTTACGGCAAGTCACTTACCACTCTGAGCCTCAGCTTCCCCGTCTGTAAAAGCACTGTAATAATAGATGCTCTGTTACAGGGCCATTAAAAGATTATTGTTGTTCAGTCACTCAGTCATGTCCGACTCTTTGCGACCCCATGGACTGCAGCACACCAGGCTTCCCTGACCTTTACCATCACCCGCAGATGGCTCAAACTCATGTCCACTGAGTCAGTGATGCCATCCAACCATCTCGTCCTCTGTCATCCCCTTCTCCTCCTCCCTTCAGTCTTTCCCAGCATCAGGGTCTTTTCCAGTGAGTTGGTTCTTCACACCAGGTGGCCAAAGTCTTGGAGCTTCAGCATCAGTTCTTCCAATGAATATTCAAGACTGATTTCTTTTAGGATGGACTGGTTTGATCTCCTTGCAGTCCAAGGGACTCTCAAAAGTCTCCTCCAACACCACAGTTCAAAAGCATCAATTCTTTGGTGCCCAGCCTTCTTTATGGTTCAACTCTTACATCCATACATGACTACTGGGAAAACCATAGCTTTGAGTACACAGACTGTTGTTGGCAAAGTGATGTCTATGCTTTTTAATACGCTGTCTAGGTTTGTCATAGCTTTCCTTCCAAGGAGCAAGCGTCTTTTAATGTAGTGGGGGGGCATACAGTAGGAACTGACTAAATATGTATGTGAAACTATAGCCTTTTAGAGCATTTTAAAGCACTCAGTAGCTAGTGCTGCTCCTGTCCCTAGATGATTTTTTTGGCCCCTGGAGAGCCCAGTAGAGACTGTGGGCTCCTTGCTTGTGTGATAGCCTGAATAAATTCCTGTTGTTTCTAAGAGACCTTGCTTCTCTAGATTTCTGCTTATTCATCCTCCAAACCATAGACCCCTTCTTTCTAATAAGAACATTACCTGGGAAGTCAGTTACCTAGATGCCTCATGTCCTAATTCCTTCATTCGGACATCTAATAAAAAGCCCACTGAGGTTCAGACATCTCCCAGGAATTCTTCCTGGAAATGAAGATCCACTCTGAACAAGACAGACACAGTCCTTATGCTCAGAGCCTGGGATGGAAGTAGGGTAGGCTCACCCTCAAAGATCTACAGGGGCCACATAAATAGGCTGAAACCAGTCTTCAGCCTGCTTTTGAGGCCACATCCAGCTGAGTACAGTCCAGTTGCTCAGTCGTGTCCGACTCTTTGCAACCCCATGGACTGCAGCATGCCAGGCCTCCCGGTCCATCACCAACTCCCAGGGTTTACCCAAACTCATGTCCATTGAGTTGGTGATGCCATCCAACCATCTCATCCTCTGTCATCCCCTTCTCCTCCTCCCTTCAGTCTTTCCCAGCAGTCTTTTCCAATGAGTCAGTTCTTCGCATCAGGTGGCCAAAGTATTGGAGTTTCAGCTTCAACATCAGTCCTTCCAATGAACATTCAGGACTGATCTCCTTTAGGATGGACTGGTTGGATCTCCTTGCAGTCCAAGGGACTCTCAAGAGTCTTCTCCAACACTACAGTTCAAAATAATAGTAGTTCTTGCTCACTTTGCAGTGTTGTAGGGATTGAAAGGTAAAAAGAAACCACAGCCTGCAAACCAACTCCATCCACCTGCTTGTTGCTGTTTGGGCCCCTGACCTAAGAATGTTTCCTTCACCCTCATTTTTAAATAGTTACATTTTAAATAGTTATATAAGAACCTACACAGTAGCCTCAATTCTGCTGCTGGCCTGCAAAGCCTAAATTATTTACTATCAAGCCCTTTAAGAGAAAGCTACTGGACCCTCGATACAAAGCACCTGGGCAGAGAAAGAATCCTCGGTGGTTACTAACTGGTGCTGCCTCAGCTCTCAAAGTGCAGGGGTCTCCTCAAAGGCCTTCCTGTGTAGCCCTCGGGAGATGGCTACAAGCATGCTTTTAAAGTAGCCGGAGATAAGGACAGAGCAGCTTGGCAGGCTACAGTCCATGGGGCCCCAAAGAGCTGGACATGACTGAGCGACGACCACCACACAGGGAATCCTAAGATGGTACTCACTGGGTCCCAAGCATTGCTCCAAGTCCTGTGAATATAGCAACTCAATTCTTAAAACACCCCCATGAGGTAGGGACTCTCATTATCCCCATTTGAAAAGCAAAGCAGAGGCGCAGAGAGGGTGGGTGTCCCTCTGAGCAATGGAGCCAGTGTTCAGATCTCACATCCACTCTATCCTGCTGCACTTGACAAAGCCGGGTCTAGCCCCTAGAGGGTGCTCGGCAGACATCTGTTGACGGCACACGGGCATGGGGTCTGAGGGCAGAAAGCTACACGAGCGAATTGCCACGCTTGTAAGAGGGGAACTTAGACGTGCTGACTCAGAGCCGGGGTGCCCGATCCTGACAGATGGGCGCACAGATTCCACACAGCCACGCGGGCTCCTGTTCTGACCCCCACGAAGAGATCAGTTATTACATTCAAGATGTGCCCACCTTACACATTCCATTACACATTCTCTGCAAGTCCATCGTGCCAAGTTGCTTCGATCGTGTCTGACTCTTTGTGACCCCGTGGACTGCAGCCCGCCAGGCTCCTCTGTCCATGGGATTCTCCACGCAAGAACACTGGAGTGGGTTGCCGTACCCTCCTTCAGGGGATCTTCCCAACCCAGGGATGGAACCCGCATCACCTGCGTCTCCCACACTGCAGGTGGGTTCTTTACCCGCTGAACCACCTGGGAGCCCCCACGTCCATCAAGTGGCTCCAGCTGCCTTGTCCACCGTCAGAGGAGGACGCCCAGGCGCAGAGCAGCTGAGTGACCGGCAGGTACCACACAGCTGACATGGGGTCGTGCTGGTTCTCACACGCAGGTCCGCGTGGCGGCAGGGCCAGGCTCCTTAGCCAGTCGGGCTGCCTGTGAATGCAGTGGCCTGTGTGAGTTCTCAGAGAAAGCCCAATGAGCAAACTCTGAATCCAGCCGCATGATGGGGGCCCTGAGTCACGTTGCCTCGGCGAGCCTTGCCTTTTAAAAGCACGCCCTTTGAAGCTCCTCAGCTCTGCAAAAGTTCGCTGTTGATCTGCTTTTCCAGAAGCCATCGGCTGGGGAAGTCAAGGTTAACGTGTGAGCCCAGAGGCCTCGTGGACAGCCGTCCCTTCATCCGTCTGGATGAACACCCCCGGGAGAGGTGCGGAGGCTCACGACCTAGTCACAGAGAGGGCTCCTCCCGGGGAAGGGTGTCGGCGCCAGGAAGGACACCCAGGTACGCAGGTGATGTCTGGGGAGGGCAGGGTGAGACTGGGATGGCGTGTGTGCTGGAGGCGGGGCAGACGTGGGGAAGCAGGAAGATGGGCTCCATCTGCTGCATCCAGAACGGCGTTGGTGCGTTGGTCTGGTGGTTCGTATTTGGTTGGTTTTCCTGCCCGTTATGTTGGTGGGGAATTTAATAATTGCCAAGAACAGAAGCCAACTCAAAGGGTGCTTAGCCCCAAAGTAAACATATTCTTTCACTTACTGAGTGTTACTTGTGCCCCTGCTCTGTGCCTGCCAGGCGCTCATTGGGAAGCAGGTGCTTCATAAATCAACAAGGCAATGGCAGATCATGCTTCCAGCCCTGAAGGGATTGAACCAGGCTCCTGGAGGAGCAGGAAATCAGGGGGCACGCCTCTGGGGAGGGACCCTCTGAGCTAAGGTGAGGCGGAGGAGAGCCAGCTATTGGCGATTTGAGCAAAGAACTTTTTCCAGAGGCGGGATTAGCAAGTGCAAATGCCCTGAGGCAGGGATGGACTCTGCAAGCTAGAGCAAGAGAAGGCTGCTGCAGCAGGATGGAAGAGAGGAAGGCGGGGTCAGGAGGCCCTTCCAGGAGGGAGGGAGGGCGTGAGGGGGCTCAGTCTGGGCTTTGTCCTCCGGCAGGGGCAGCCACGCGAGGGTGAGGAGGGCTGGCGGCATCAGAGCAGCCAGGAGGCACAGGGAGTCTGGGGGCGTCCTCTCTGCTCCATCACTTCGCGGCCTCCAGGTGGCCGCCAGCTTCGAGGCCAAGGGATGCCCATGAAGTGGTCAGGAAGCAGAGCCTTTTCCGGAAGCCCCCGCCCCACCAGCCGGCATGTTCATGCCCTTGACCGGTACCAGGTCAGGCGAGCATCCCTGCTGTGAGGCCGGCGTGGGAGAAGCGTCCAGTGAGGAAAACGGTCCCAGCCCGTCGTGACCGTTAAAGCAAGTTAAAAATAATCGACGTGTAATTCATGATCCACGTGATTGCCCCCCAGCGGTAATAGTTGGGTGTATTCCATAGGCCCCAGACTCACCCGCTGGAGGCACAGCCTCTGTGTGAGATGGATGTGGGTCCGAGGTGCTCGGCTGTAAATCAGAGGCTTGGCCAAAGTTCCGGGGAAACGAGGGGAGTGGGGCGCCGAGCCCCCACCGGCACCCCACCCCGGGCTCTTAGGAAGGTCCTGGGCCGGCCTGAGATACAGTCGAGGGTCTGCTCCTCGGAAGCGGGAGGCCGGCCGGGCTGTGTTAGGAAGGGCACGTGCGCCCTCTAGTGGCGGCCTGGGGCTCAGCCCAGCGTCCTCCCGGGGGCCGAGCGGGAGGTCAGCACTGGGCTTGCCCCTAGGCTCAGGGACCCCGGAACGGGGAGGCACCCCTAGTGCGGGTGAGAGCTAGCATTTGTGGGGCACTCCGGATATATCTCCATGCACGTTACGGACACTGACACCTTACGGACGGATCCTCTTGGCAGCTCTGAGAGGCTGGTCCTTTTGTGTTTCCGTTTGAACGGCGGTGTTATTGCCTTAGATTGGACCCCCATCCATCTCACACAGGCTGTGCCTCCAGCTGGTGAGTCTGGGGCCTATAGAATACACTCAGCCATTACCACTGGGGGACAATCACATGGATCATGAATTACATGTCTATTACTTTTAATTTGCTTTTTCCAAAAACCTTGTCTGAGGCTTCTGGGGGACTTACA